TAGGATCCAACCGAATACCGTATTTTGAGCTACAAGTGACCCTAGAACCTTTTGATGAGCTCCCTCTAACACTATCTGGGGATACAAATCAGCACCTATCAACAAATCTACCGGACGACTGTCAAAGAGGTGAGGATCAGCGAATGGTAGCTTGGGCAATTGATCAAAAAGATTAGACCGAACAGCAAATGAAGGCAAGTTTTCCGAAATCTGAGGTAGAACGAAAGCAACCGTTTCAATTTGAACCGAAGAATGGTGCCGAGATCCAAGACAAAGTGAACAACTTTTCCTAGATGTGGCAGAGACGGAACCGTTGACACCAGAAACCGTAGCAACTACCGAACGTACTGGTAGGTTTAGTTGCTTTTGAATGCGATCAGTAACGAATGATGCCTCAGACCCAGGATCAATTAGAGCCCGAACTGAATAAGAGACACCCTGATGAAGGATATTTACCATAGCTGTACCCAGTAAGACATTTCTACTCTGCGAAGTGTGAAAAACTTGCGTATTGGTGATAGTGGGACTAGAACCAGTAGAAGTGGATGCGACGTTAGGATCTGACGGTGCAACCGAGGGCGAGAATGAAGAGGGTGAGCTATTTGATACCCGAGTATTACTGCTTGGACGATGAATTAAAGAATGATGAGTGCCTTTGCATATACTACACCGATTAGAACTTTTGCATTCTTTAACTGAATGTCCCCGAGACAGACAGTTCCAACAACATCCCTGTGTTTGGACAACAGACAATTTCTTACCTATCGACAATGTTCGGAATTTTGGACATGACCGAAGAGAATGGTTTGTCTAGGGCAGAGGGAACAAAAGAATTCCGAAGTGGATTTGGCGTGAACATCCACCGAAGCGCTAGTGAAGTGAGGCTGAACCCTGGCCTGATTAGATCTGGAATGTGAATCAGGTCCCTTAATGTCCCGTAAACAATCAAGAGTCTGAATTCTCTCTGTCAAAAATGCATTTAAATCTGACCACAAAGATAATGCTGATTTATCCCGTATACTTTGCTCCCACAAGGTGACCGTTAACCTAGGCAAACGTTGAATGCACAAAAAGACTAAAATAGGATCCCATTGATCCGTTGGAATATCGTAAACAGCCATAGCCGACAAACAAGTGTTTATGCCCCGTTGAATTATTTTTAAATTGGAACTAGATTCTCGATCTACAGCGGGAAGGTCAAATAAAATCTTCAGATGACTATTTACAATGACTCGTTTATTGTCATATGTGTTTTTTAAAGCGGCCCAAGCTAATGTGAAACTACGATGGGTGAGTGGAAATTTGTTTACTATTTCCCTAGCTTCCCCGGACGTTTTCTGCACTAAATGGCACAGTTTCTCAATATCACTTAAGCGGGCATTGTTTATGTAAACCGTGGAAAATAAATCCCGAAAAGTGGGCCACGAAAGAAAATCTCCTTTAAAAACTTCAATATCACAAGGAGGAAGTGCAAGATTGTGAACATTATCCGAAGGGAACCAACCTGAGACGTTGTTTCTACCACTCTGCATAGAATCTACTTCAGAAGTAATAGTTTCGACTTGTGTGCCAATATCCTTAGATGCCTGGGTGGACGAACTTAAATTGGGAACCGCGTTTTCAGGAGCTTCAACTAGTGACACAATGGAACCATTTCCATCAGAGTTAGAAGGTGATGGTGGGAGTTGCCGATATTTAGTAAGTCTCCGCTTAATACCCGAAAGACATTTAATATATGTCTGATGTGAAACCTCATATTTGCTGTCAACTGAATCGATGTCCTCTTTTTGAGAATCTACTGAAGACATCAAAAAGTCCAGGCATTTATCAACATTTCCTGAACTTTTGCCCACAATTTTTCGATTTCTCGGGAACGAACCTCTAGTTCAAACTCATCTATATCCTCATCGCACACGAAATTGAAATGTGCGTCAAATTTAATGAGAGCATCCGAAGCTCTAATATTCATGTCCAAAGGTGTGAACGGCATGATGAATAAGTATTAAAACCAGAAAAGAAAATACTTGAAATTTCGACGAGAAAGTGCACGAACCACTGAATATCAAATCGTACTCAATAAGATGGACGATCGAGGAGTTCTTCTATTTATCTCAAGTCAGAAAATGCAAAAACAAGCACTATATAAGCCACAGATATCTAAAAATATTTGTTTAACACCAAATTATTATTTAACTGCCAAAACTAATTTCATAAATTATATTTGAAACTTTCGATAGGACTGTCCGTAGGGTGGGTGTTTAGCGAAAAAAAATAAAATTCCAAGAAATACCACCAAGTTGATTTTTAAAGCAAGTAAATATAAAAATCTTTATAATCCTATAAATTTTCCAAGAAAAATAAAGTTTATTCTTCCGCCGTTCCGATGTGACCGAATGTAGGTTACGCAATAATTAAGAAATTGTTGCCCAATACAACAAAACTAAAAAATAGTACTCTTTATAACCAGGAAACCAAGCAATTATTTTATATAAAAATTAAAAATATACTGTATTTTATTACGACAAAAATAATATCACTATTCGTATATAAGTGGTTGGCTGTAGGGTGCAAATGTCTAAAAACCCCGTTAGTAGCAAAATATGTATTAAATTAAGAAAAAACACCAACTGTCTATTTTCATAAATTTATTTAAAAATAAATTACGAATTTTTTCACCTGCGACCCACTGTGCAGCGAGATAACGAAAGCAGACAAAACGAAATAAAACACAAGCGACGTCGACAGCGTAGTCAACGTGCCTGTGGTGGTGCATAAGCAAGCGGTCAAGCGGCAGAGCAGCAACAACTGACTGTGTTGTTGTTAGAAAAAAATAAAGAAGTAAATGCAAGCTCTCACAACAACGGAACGGACTACCAAATCGATTTTTTTTTCTTTTCGTTTGGTTCTTGGGTTACCGATGCCAAAAGAAGAAGTATTGTTTTTGTTAATGCAGATATGCAGTGAAACAATGAGTGCCTTGCAATGAGAGTCTAACAATAAAAAATAGGAATAGGTTGGTTAGCGACTGATCGAAACGAAGTAGAACACCACTATGTAATAAACACTAGTTAATCAGCCAATGCATGTATGAAAAAATAAAAAAAAGTAATAGATGTTGCGGAGAGTAGGGTGACGGACGGACGGCCAGCAAATAAATATTTATTGCAACAATTTCCGAAAAGGCACTCGCGACTTTTGGTTTTCGTTTTTTATTATTAATATTTTTTTTTTTCGCTCACTTTAAGAAAATGATTTCACGTACCTGTATGTTTATGTGATGATCGATGAAGATGATGTTGTTGTTTATGGTGTGTATGATGTGATGTGGACTGTATGTGGATGCGGGGGGATGATTTTCCGTGCTTTACGCCTGAGAAAAAGGGAAAAGGACTGGTAAGAGATCCGGCTCGATTGGATCAAATGTTTCTCTCCGTATGAGACGCTGATGTTCTCTCAGGCATACAAACCGTGACCGTCTTTTCTATGCGGTTAGCTCCGTAGCTAGCAAGAGATACACTATGAATGCCAAGTCGCAATGCATCGAGGTGGCTGGAAGCACCGATGCTTCCAGGAAATCTCTAACAGCAACACGGGCTGAGAGAGTACCCAGAGAGAGTTGTAGAGAAATGACTTGGAAAAGCTGCCTACGGTCCGAGCTGTGCGAACGTAGGCCCCAAGGAGAGTTGTAGGGAAAATCTTCAGACTAGGAAGGCTTTCTCCCTACGGTCCGAGCACAGCGAACGTAGGCTCCAAGGGGAAGTTGTAGGCAACCTTTTAGCCCAAGAATGCATCTCTCTACGGTCCGTACTAAGCGAACGTAGGCTCTCTGGATCGTTTGGCAATTTGCAATTCTAACTTAAACATTATATTATATTATATTATATTATATTATATTATATTATATTATATTATATTATATTATATTATATTATATTATATTATATTATATTATATTATATTATATTATATTATATTATATTATATTATATTATATTATATTATATTATATTATATTATATTATATATATTATATTATATTATATTATATATATTATATTATATTATATTATATTATATTATATTATATTATATTATATTATATTATATTATATTATATTATATTATATTATATTATATTATATTATATTATATTATATTATATTATATTATATTATATTATATTATATTATATTATATTACTGTCGACATCTACGTAACGGTCAGAATTGATCTGTTCGTCTATTTGTGATTTTGCCGGGATTAAAAATATTCGCGGTTTAATTGAAAATTTGTTTATTTAACCCAAATGTTATGGTCTATTTCACCCACCAAATATTACCCGATGAAAATCAAAATTGGGAGACTTCTGCCCAACTCTCAATTCTAGCCCCATGCTAACTTCCGCGTCGATTGGTCTATAATGCGACCTGTAGAGCAACTGCAAAATCAGGAATTTTTTTCAGTTTTTGGTCCATTCAACCCCTAAATATTATGCGATCATCCCACTTTTCTGGTTAATGATCGTTGAATAGTGTTTCAAATGATTTTCAGGGACTTTCTGGCCAAAAATCTTGAATTTTTAAAATATTTTGTAAAACTTTCTACCCAAGATTCGTGGATTGTATTCTACAAAACTACCTGGTCAAGGTTCGTCGATATAAATAAAAAAATATATGTTTGAAAATTTTGTGGCGTTTTAGTTGAGTTTTTTTCAAAGCATTTTTCTAGGATTCGTGAATTTAAGAAATATTTTCAGGAGTTCCTTTGGGTTCCCTTTGTCAATAAATTGCTTAGAATGTTATTTTAAATTGAATTCTGAATTCTTCCTAATTTTTTTTTTGGACTTTACAATTTTTATATTAAAGTTTTGAAATTATTTCAAAAATGTTATTTTATTTTTTTTTTTTTTAATTTTATTAATATTTCATTTGTTAATATACTTTTCTTTCTTAAATTTTAATTGATAACTTAAATATTTCTTAAATTATTGTTTCAATATAAAACAAATTGTAAATCTTAAATATAATTCGGAACTAACGTAACTATTGTCTACATAACAAAATCAACATTGGCCTCAAAACAAACTTTTTTAATTTGCCATCTCTTCTTCCATTACATAACCTGTCATCTCAATAAATCTCACACTTCTGCACTGGATTCATGCCACTGCCCTTGGGACATTGGAATTCCTCGGCAAACCCATCAAAATTCGACAGTGGTCCTATGACTCTGAACCTATCTGGTACATGATTATCCACTGATGCTAAATATTTACGGAATGCTGGCGTGATATCGTTACACCACAGCTGGGCATAACTGATGAAGAACAGCTTACGATCTGAATAGTTGACGGGAGGCATTGATTCGTTGACACCACGGGGGTTGGTGGCCAAAGCTTTTTCCAGCCATTTAACATAGGCAGCGAAGGCCAAACGGACACCACCATTATCGGCAATGTTCTCACCCTGAGCCGGCATATCGGGTAAATGTTGACCATGGAAAATGTATCGCTGATATTGGGCATTGAAACATTGGGAGCGGGCATTGAAATCACGGCTGGATTCTGGATCCCACCATTCCAGGCTGTTGCCCTGGGCATCATGATGCCGGCCATGGACATCGAGACCATGCATGAGTTCGTGCGACAGGAGAGCTCCCAGTATGCCAAAGTTAAAGGCATTGGCAAAGGAGGCCGACCAGGCATAGTTGGGTTGGAGTATGGAAACTGGAACCTTGACGGCATTTTCGATGAGTACATTAACCGGAGTGGTGGCAATGCGTTCACTCAGATCCAAGGGCTGGGGTGGCAGGTATATTGCATTACGTTTCTGTTGCGTTCCCAAGGCAAACAGCGATTGAAGATTTTCCACAAAATCATGGGCGTTCACCTGGAAGGGCCTGAAGACCGTTTCAAAATCATAATTTTTATACGAGACAATTTCCATTTTCATGGCCTTGATTTTTTCCACAGCATAACTGCGGGTGTCGGCCCGAATCCAGGCATATTGGTGAGGCGATTTCAGGGCCTCTATGAAGGTGGCCTTTATGTCCTGCCACATGGCATTCACCCCCCGTTCCGTGTCATCCATGTTGTATTTGCGATAAAGCATGTTGTCAAAATTCTTGGAAAAATAGGTTTTCATTTGCCTTAGACACATGTCCTGTAGCTGGGGTTGGGTTTGGGGAATGACCAGCATAAATTTCTCAATTAGATGGTAGAATACGTAGTTGGCCACCACACGTTTGGGTGTCTGCTGCAGAGTTCTAATCATGTTCTTAATGTAGTCTGGACTCCAATATACCTTGAAATCGGGCAGGGTTCCCAGTGATTCTTCTACCAATTTATTGATATTCAAATAGGGATAGGTTATTTGTTGGATCTCATCCATGGTGTTGAGGGTGTAGAGATCGGCCAGTTTGTTGATTTTCTTGGAGTCAGCCATGCCCCTGGCGAGGTTAGTTTCCAGCTGGACCATTTCGGTGGCAACCTGACGACCCACATTGACATCGAGGCCCAGGAAGATGTACAGCTTGTTGGCAATACTGTTGATGTAGTTTTTGACAAAGCCCGCATTGGCGGGGTTGAGGTAAATATCTCTGGATTCCAGGGCCAGTTGTTGTTCACTCAGATATATACGATTCTTGGTATTATCGGCAAAGTCTACACTGATCTCGGCCCCCGTAATGGTAATGATACCATACTTATGGGCAATGGCTGCAATAGTCGCCTGCCAATCGAAGGTCTGCTCCTGCCAATAGTCTCCCGCCATGGCTGGCATTTGACCAAATTCAGACATAATTTCCACCAATCTTGCCGTATAGGAACTCTTGAAATTCGGCAGATTCATGCATGATTTGTAGAAATTTTTCACCTTTTTATCGACGTTGGTGTCGTGTGGATCATTGGTGTTCATCAGAAGCAGAATTTTTTGATCCCTTTCCTCACGGAGACTATGAAATAGCCCCGTAGCCGATTTCCTCTTGGCCGCCGCTGAGTTATAGGTATTCCAGTTGCCACAAGCAAATTCATAAAAATCATCACAGGGATTAACTTGCTGATTCATATAGCGATAGATTTCCAGGCCCTTGTTCAGGCGATTTTGATCTCCCAAGGTTTGGGTGGCCGTCAAAATTCCCCGGACCGCATTCAACAGAATGTAGAAGAATAAACCCCAACACATCAGATTGTAGGTAATCATATTGCGGTAGTGTGTACACTTTCTTGGATCTTCCCGCCTCAACTGAGGTTTTTCCACAACAGCTGAGGTTATTTAAAGGATGTCCATCCATTAATTTTATTTTCGCAATTGAATTTTATCAATACTTCTCCAAATTCTACTTTTCATCAATGAATGAAAGATGAGTTTCAATACCGGCGCAAAAAAACAATGCAAAACTGGTAACGTAAATTTGTGTTTGGATTATTACGAATTATTATTTACAAAGTACTTTGACCCTCGAGCAATTTAAATTGGGGTACAAAAATCGATCGATTGCAGCTCCGCACACAATTTGTCAATGAATCACTCTGCCAAACCTTTCCTCTTTAGCGTATTTCGATTTTCTTATTTTTCACTTTAAAACCCAAACCCACGTCTCCATGCCAAAGTCTCCCTGGCCTTGATTCAAATCTGTCACTTATTTGTTTTAATTTTCCTTGCATGAGACCAAAACTTGTTCTCTGCCAGGCACGCTTTGGGCGCTCATTGAACCCCAAAGCTGGAGAAAGAAAAAAGTTCAATGGATCTCAAAATTATTGCAACACATTTTTGCTTAAACTCCTCCCCGCCTCCATCTGTTATGACATTTTATTTTATTCCACCCGGTTCATTGAATTCGATTTTGAAAATAAGAAACGTAATTTGTTTCGCATTCACAGAATTATTGCGAAATATCGATCAGCAAAAGATGGGCGAAGAAAGGAAGTTCATTTGTTTTGACCGATCAATTATCTTTTAAGTGCGGGAGAGAGCGAGAGATCATTGGCCTGAAATGTAAACAAATGTACATTAAAGGAGAATGACTTGTTCTTTGGATAAACAAAAGGGCGGAAGGAATTTGAGGAATTTGGAAAAGCGGATTATCAGTTACAGTCAGTGGCAGGCTTACAAAAGGATTATTTTGATTTATTAGCAAAGAATGTGCTCATTAACAAAATATGTCTAAAAAATAAAATAAAAAAATAAATAAAAATAAAAATTTTCTACATACATCTGGGATCTATAGCTTTATCTGAACCGATTTTAATCAAAATTGGGGGCACTTGATTTTAGGACAAATTAAGTCGTAATTGCCAAAATTAAGTTCAATTGCGGTGATATTAGCCATTTGGTGCACAAAAAAGTTGAAATTGGATTAAGACATATATGGGAGCTATATCGAAATCTGAACCGATCTTGACAAAATTTTAAACATTCATTTCTGAGCTGCATTTGAACGATACGAATTTCGCTTGCTTCTAGACTGTATTCGGTCAGATGTGTCAAAATTCAGGTCGTTTAGATTAATATAGTCCATTTGGTGCACAATTAACACGAAATCGGTTGAAGATATATACTGGGTTTTTTGGGTGCCGAAGGCTTAATACCCCCTCCAGAATATTTTCGCGATAATATTCGGCAGTTATTCTGATGCCACGGTCGATTAGTACGAGCGGAGAGTAGCCATCGGCTGTTATGGCAGCCCACACCATCACCATGACCGGTGCTTGAGTTCTGGTGACCAACCAAAGGTGCACATTTTCAGCTGACCTCTTTGGCAAGTAAACACGATCATTTTGTTTGTTTACAAACTGTTGGACAAGGAATGTTTTCTCATCGGAGAAAACGAAATTCAGCAGTACACCACTTTCGGCCAAGCAAACCAACTCCTTAGCTCTTTTGAGTTTTTTTTTTCTATTGGTGTGTAAGTTCTTGCACTTTTTGCAATTTCGATGGCTTTACCCCGAGTTCATTTTTCAATATTTGCCGAATGGAATATTGCAATATGTTAAGCTCACGAGCCATTTTTCGGCCACTGCGACTCGGGTTTCGATCAAGTCGCTTCTTTACTTTTCGAACCATTTCTGCTGATGTTGCTGTTTTCTTCCGTTCACTTCCTTGACGTCAGGCTACTCTACCAGTATCACGGTCCTATCGAGAAATCTAACTGTCAAGTTTCATCTAATTTGTTTTGAAATTGTGGTAGAAACGTTAAAAATACCGAAAATCGGACCTGGATCGAACATTTTTTGCAAGGAGGGAACAGACCTACCAAATACTCCAAATGTTAAGTTTCAGCAAATCTTCAACTAAATCGATTAAAAAGATGGACAAGACCCACGATATATATGATTCTATAAATGGGCGCTGGTCTGAAACATTGACATTTACTGTGAAGAGGTGTTCTACGTCTTGAGAAACCAAGTTGAAGAAAAATCGATTGAAAAATATTGACAAGATCCTCGAAATTAATAAAATCAGGGGGATATTCTTATGATGGCTATGCCCGATGCTAGACCTAGAGTCATAATGAATAATCTCTTCCTTTTGAAACTTTTCCCATTTTTAATTTAGACAATTTATTGCTTTTTCAGAATTCACTGTAAATTTTCAGTGCATCCTTACACTGTCCATAAGTGAGTCCGGGTTTTAGAAAATTACAAGCGGACTCAGTCAAAATTGTTTTAGGGACTTTATATATTTTGAGTTACATATCGCAACATTTACATATCTAAATAAATGCCTTGTTCGACTCAAATTTATTAAGGAACCTGGGGTATAAAGTCTTAATTTTGATAAAATGAAATGTAATGATAATAATACCCTATCTGCTCACAAGGCTGAGCTGTAAGCATTAAGATATTCGAAGTTTGGATTGTCGAAAATAATACTGAGCAACAAAATTTAATATTTTCATTAATAATGGCGAAATTTCACTAGATTATAAAAGTAGAGCCAAACAAGTAAAATAGAAGATATGTTCGGCCGGGCCGAACTTTTAATACCCTCCACCATTTCGAAGGAAGCAGAAAATTTAAAAAAAAGAAATCCGAAAACTACCACTTAATGAAAACCGTTATATGCGGACTATACGAAGACGTGAACCTGTATACGAAATTTTTTGTCATAGGCTGTAGTGTCCATTACGAACTTCGAATTTGTTACCAATACGGTGAATAATGTTGCTTAAATCATCAAAATACCGAATATCGGGAAGTATCGTTATATGGGGGCTTTATGAAGATTTGGAACTGCATATAAAAATTGTTGTCATAGGCTATAGTACCCATTAGGAACTTCCACTTTGAAACGACTCCGGTGAATAATGTTGCTGAAATCATCTAAATACCGAATATCGGGAGGTACCGTTATATGGCGGATATACGAGGTCTTGGACCTGCATACAAAAATATTTGTCATAGGCTGTAGTACCCGGTAAATACTGTCGCTTAATCATGAAAATACCGAATTTGGGAGGTACCTTTATATGGGGGCTATACGAAAGCGTGGACCGACATGGTCCATTTGCGAACATAACATGCCTACTGGTAAACTATGCATGTATGCAAAATTTTAGCGTGATTACAACGGACAGACGGACATCGTTAGATCGTCTTAGAATTTTACGCTGATCCAGAACATATATACAGGGTTGCCCATATTCGACGGACCCATCTGGCAACGCCATAACTGTTGACAGAGATGTTATATCCCTTAATGACATACCGCGTTTGAAGCGTCAGTCCAAGCAGAATTTTACCATGAACCAATACACGCCACGCGAGTGCTCTGAAATAGTTGAAATTTACAAGAAGTCAATTGTGAAAACTCAACGTGCTTTTAAAACATTAAAAAATGTGAGAAGTGCGCCAGTGTTGAGAGGTCCCCAAGAACATCCCAAAAACGCCGTTCTCAGCGGTTGGGCATGGCTCGGTCCACTTTACAACGGATTATTCGCATTGATTTGCATTTGTTCCCGTACAAAGTTCAATTGACGCGAAGAATGTTGCCTGCGGACAAGCCTCGTCAATTGGAATGGGACCAATGGTGGTGGAGGGTATAAAAAAAAGAAGAGACGTGTATCGGTGTTTTGAAGTGTTTACATCGAATAGCAACCGTAATAGAAAGGCAAGCAAAGGGGGCCTTGTTTCGTAAATTTTGGATTAACATTCCTAAAAATCCGTGCATTTTGGGTATATTGTAGACATATTGGGCAATATTGTAGACAAAAATACGAGAAACAGAAAATTCTAACCCTCAAGGGAATCAAAAAGTGGTATTTTTGGTCCCTTTAAAAAATAGGGTTAAAAACTTCCTTTAAACGAGATCGTAGCGTGTCAAAATATCCTACAAAATTATTTGTCCTAAAAAATTTTACTACAGGCTCCGGAAGACGTCAAAAGCTCAAATCTTACAAAAAAAGCTTAAATCTTAACTCCATACTTTATGTGAGCTTATGCAAAAAAAAAAAATCCAACAAAACATTATTTTAGAAGGATGACGCCAAAGACAAAATATTCTCCATCAAATTTTACTATAAGTCTCCCACGTCTATCTCCCCTTTAAATGGAGTTTTTAAACATTATTTTAAAATTTTGTTGGCATGTTTTTGAGTAATAGTATCCTTTGCCAAAATAGTGTTCGCATTGTTGCCACAAATATTGCGAACGACATACCTAAAATGTAGGGATTTCTATTTTTTAGTTGAATTTAAAGGGCAGTTCAATGCCTAAAGTTCTTACTTAAAATTGTGTATGTTTTATCATAACTTATTTATTTATCTTTTATTTTTTCTATCTCTTTTCAGGTAAATTTCAACATTTTTATATCCTGCACATAACTTAATTGTGATGACCTGTAAGTTTATTTTTATATGAAGTCATATATACAAGGTGAGATTAAAAAATTGCAGCCAACTTCAGGCTGCTGTTATTTCTAAGCCACTCGTCCGACAGCTGCTAAAATTATTCCACTGACAGCTCATTATATTGTTTACAAGCGTACAAAAGCATTTTGGTGAGAATTTTCCAGAAAAAAGTTATTCGTGATGGAATTCAAGCGTGATAGTGTGATTTTTTATATTTGACTAGAAAACCACAAGTGGCTATCGTTAGAGCACTTCAGCATTTAAATGTGAATAAATCTTTCGTGTCTCGTACCATCGCTCGTTACCGTGATACTGGTAGCGTAGCCCGACGCCAAGGAAGTGGATGGAGAAAAAACAGCAACATCAGCAGAAATGGTTCGAAAATTAAAGAAGCGACATGATCGAAACCCGCTTCGCAGTGGCCGAAAAATGGCTCGTGAGCTGAATATATCGCATTATTCCTTTTGGCAATTATTAGCTCGGGGTAAAGCCTTGAAATTCCAAATACCAAGAAGAGCAAGAGCTAAAGAGTTGATCGTGTTTACTTGCCAAATAAGTCAGCTGAAAATGTGTACCTTCGGTTGGCCACCAGAACTCAAGCGCTGGCCATGGAAATGGTGTGGGCCGCCATAACTGCCGATAGTCGCTTTCCACTCGTATTTATCGACCCTGGCATCATCAGAATAAATGGCGAATATTATCGCGAAAATATTCTGGAGGGTATATTTGGACATTTTGGCCGCATTTCCATGAGATGCCTTTGATATATTTCCCAGAATATCGTTGTTATGGAGTGCATATTACGGCTGTGGGTAACAAATATGACAAATCGGATGAACAGTATATATGGGAGCTATAGCTATATCTGAACCGATCTTCGCCAAATTTGACATACTAGCTTCTAGACTCAATTCGGTCGTAAGTGCCAAATTTCATCCAATTTGGGCAAATATTAGACGTTTGGTGCACAATCTAAGGTAAATCGGACGAAGTTATATATGGGAGCTATATCCAAATCTGAACCGATCTCGATAAAATTTAGCAAAGGTATTTCTGATCTGCATTTGATATATTTCCCCAAATATTATTGTTACAGAGTGCATATTACGGCTGCGGAGGACAAAAATAACAAATCGGATGAACAATATATATGGGAGCTATAGCTATATCTGAACCGATTTCGATCAAATTTGGCATACTTATTTTCAGTCCTAATTTGGTTGTATGTGCAAAATTTCATACTATTCGGGCTGATATTACACGTTTGGTGCACAATAAAAGGCAAATCGGACGAAGATATATATAGGAGCTATATCTAAATTTTTACCGATTATCTCCAATTTCAATAGGGTTCGTCCTTGGGCCAAACAAATGTTGTTTGCAAAGTTTCATCTCAATCGGATAATAATTGCGACCTGCATTTTGTTCACAAGAATAAATGGATAGACGGACAGACAGACGGACTGACATGCATAAATCAACTCAGAAAGTGATTCTATGGAGATCATCAAAAGGAACTATGGGTCTATCTCGTTTCCTTTTGCCTGTTACAAACAAATGCACAAAGACATAATACCCTGACCACCTTGTGGTGTAGGGTATAAAAATGTAAAATTTTTGGTTCTGGGTAATGGGTTCTACATCCTATAGTGCAAATGTACCGATATTATGAGGATTTAAGCCACATATTTTAACGGTTTCATCCACTTTTTATACACTCCACTATACATAGTACGGAGGGTATATTAAGTTCGTCATTACATTTGCAACTCATCGAAATAATCATTTTAGACAAAGTGTATATATTCTTGATCAGCGTCAAATTCTAAGACGATTTAGCCCTGACTGTCCGTCTGTTGTAATCACGCTAGAGTCTAAACGAATAAAGATAGGAAGCTAAAATTTTGCACAGATCAGTCTTTTGTGTGCAGGGAGGTCAAGTTCAAAGATGGGCTATATCGGTCCACGATATCGTATAGCTCCCATACAATGGTACGCCCCAGTATTTTGAGGATTTTAGCTACATTTTCCAATGGATTTGTCTGAAGAAAAAAAAACATACAAGGAGCGAAATCATGTGACGTACATATTCATGGTAGAAGAATTCAGGTCAAACAGATTTTGGAATTGAAAATGAATAGTGAAACATTCATTATTCCGGAATAATAAGAAATGTAATAAATCCGATAATAACAGGTCCATAATCTAAGGCGTTTTCCAATTAATGCCAGTGGCCTAATCAAGCCATTTTTCTTCAAAAAATGAGCTAGGAGTGTGCGTTATTGGGCCATGTTAACGAATATTTGAATTGAAGAGAAGGATATTGACAACATTTGATTTCAGCAGGACGGCACTACGTGCCATACAGTCGAAACTACACTCAATTTTCAAACAAAAAAAATTTAAAAAAATTTATTGTGTTGACTGATTATTCACTTCCCATTTCAATATTCTGACCTTAAAATGGGATTAAAACAATAAATCAACATCTAACCGTTATGATTCTAAATTTAGGAGGATAAAAAAGGCATTCAAAAGAATTAATTTGAGAAAATTTGCATGCCGCTGTACAAATGTGGTCTGGGGGGTCAATAATTCAAACATTTTCAGGGCATTGTAATACGGTATTCAGAATTTGCATTAATACATGTGTGCATGCACACTTCCATAACTCTCTCTTTTTTGAAAAATATAAAATAAAACAAAATTAAATGCAAATTAGAGATTTTGACAGAATGTACTTATTTTTTGTTTTTGTTTTAAATTTAATTACTCCAAACAATTGTTGTTGTTTTTTATGGGTCGTGCTGGATGATGCTGTCGCTAAATGGAAATGTTGTTGTTAAATGAAATTTGAAAGCAACTTCCGAATTCAGTTGAGAAAATTTCTTCAGATTGTGCGGTCAGGATTTTCTCCGGTCCACAAGCGAAAAAAAGTAAATTACTGTGCACAATGTGGGGTATTGGAATTTTGGCGGTAATTTTGTGGCCCGTGGTGGTGTTGTCTGCCAGCGTGGATTTATTTGCGGGCATTGGCAGCCGTTTGCAAAAAGGCTCTGAAATGTTGAAATACATGAATATGTCAGTGGATCCCTGCGAGGATTTTTATGAATTCACCTGTGGCAATTGGAATCGTTATCACTCAGCAGCATCGGGAGATACCACAACGACAGGTCTGCTGGAGAATTTACAAAAGTCGTTGAGTGAAAAGTTAATGGAAATTTTGGTCACCCCCGAACGGGAGGACACCAAGGTGGATCGTAAGGTAAAGGACTTCTATAGATCCTGTTTGAATTTGGGGGCCTTGAAAAATGATTACGCTCACAAACTGCGGGAATTAATTGGAGAGTTTGGTCAAATGCCGGCCTTAGCAGGTGCAGCATGGCAAGAGGAGCGATTTGATTGGCTGGAGGTTGTGGCCAAGATTGCCTACAAATATGGCATAGGCATCCTCACACCGGCTGAGGTAAGCGGAGATCTGGTGGATGATCGTCAAAATCGTTTGTATTTGAGAACGGCTGAATTGTCACTGGGTAGTCGTAATGTTTATTTGGACAAGGGCAGTTCGCAACTCTTACAAGGCATAACAATTGTGGTCTACTCACGGCTCTCGGATTTCCTAGACATGGAGGTGGAATTGGCCAAGAGGACGGCAAAGGAAATTATTGATTTCGAAATTGCCTTGGCGCGGGGCATTGATGACATCAACAGTGTCAGTGATTACAGGGAAGTGATTGCCTTGGATACCATAGACGCCTTGGAGCAAAAATATGCCGGTCAGTTGGATATCAAGAAATTAATGTATCTCTCCTTTGGCACCCTGCCCAATCTTAGGGTGTATTCAAATCCAAAATATATCAAACATCTGATAGAGCTAATGCGCACCACGCCCCGCCGAATAGTGGCCAATTATATTTTCTATAATCTCATCAAAAAGTTTCTTGTGGAGGTACCCAAGACGGAGACAAAACTGCAGAAGAACTGCCTGAAGGGCATGAAACCGCATTTCTTTAAAATATTCGACAACATAATCTATCGCCGTTTTATGTCGCGGGAAATCGAGCAGGGCATTCATAGCATGTGGGAGGAAATTAAGCACACCTTCAAACTAACTCTGGCCTCGGATAAGTATCAATGGATCGATGCAGTGACCCGGCTCTATGCCATCGAAAAGGTCAAGGCCATGAAAATGGATATTGTCTCGTACAAGAACTACGATTTCCAAGCGGCATTTGGTGATCTGAATGTCAATGATCATGATTATGTGGAAAATCTAAAATCTCTGCACGCCCTGGCCTCCAAACGCCACCGTGAGTCGATAACAAAACCTCCCAAACCCCTCGAACTGGGCGAAGAGCTTTCCATCTCACCGGCTAATGTTCTAAATGAGAACATGGTCAAGGTACCCGTGTCCATGCTGCAACCCTATCAGGTATGGTCCACCCAGTTCCCAAATGCCTTTAACTATGCCGTCTTGGGGGCTCTGCTCTCCCACGAACTCATTCATGGCTTCGATGATGCCGGCCGCGGCTATGACATCAACGGCAAACCCTTGCAATGGTGGGATCTACTCTCTTCGATCTACTTCAAGGAACGCTCACAATGTTTCAACGAACAATACCATGGCTATGTTTTCCAGAATCGCCGTCTCCCCTACATGTCACAAGATGAAAACATTGCCGACAATGGTGGGGTACGTCTGGCCTATAATGCCTATTTGAATTGGTATCGTGAGGCGGAGCAAAAGAATCCTCAACAAATTTCCGAAACAATGCCGGGTCTTAATTTTAGCGATAAGAAGCTGTTCTTCGTCAGCTATGGCCAGTTGTGGTGTGGGGATATTAATCCGCTGATACGTCAATTCCAAGAATCCACAGATGCCCATGTTCCAGACAAGTTTCGTGTCATTGGTCCCCTTTCGAATTTCGATGAGTTTTCCAAGGTATTCGAGTGTCGGCCGGGTAGCGGCATGAATCCCATAAAGAAATGTGAAATTTATTGATTTAAAAATAATTTTTTTAAGTGCCATTGTTTTTTGTTGATTTAGTTGTTTATTTAATTTTAAGGACTTCATTTAAATTGTTAATAAATTGAAAATAATTTGTTAAATATTTAATATTGCATTAATTTTTTTTTTCAAAAAGGATTTAAGGCAGACGAGACTGTCCATAGGACACAGGGACGTGCACCGAAGTGCATTTCGTTATTATTTTGGGGTTGCCAAGTACCTCAAAATTAACCTTTTTTGGTAAAAGTATAAAAATAGCAGAAAAGTAGCTACATCGGAGGGGACAAGGACCCTTAACCCTGCCTTCGTCCCTGGTTTCATACCAGCCTGACACTTACGGTATTTCTAAATTCTCTCTAATATTTCGTAAAGAGTCCAGTAACAATAAGTAAAAATCAGCTTTTAAAACCCACCACAATTTGGAAGGAACTTTTAAAATGTTAAGAAAATTTCGTCGAAAAATACCGTTTACATGAAAACCGCTATATGATGGCTATACGAAGACGGATTGGTATCCGGAGATTTTCGTAGCAATTGTGCGCTGGAAATGAAGCGAGGAACCTATTTTTATAACCATTCTTGGGTGGCGCGTGCTGAGTGCGATGGTGCAGAGTTCTGGTGGCCAACCGAAGGTGCACATTTGACCTCTGACCTCTTTGGCAAGTAAACACGATCACTTTTTTGTTTACAAACTGCTGGAGAACGAATGTTTTCTCATCGGATAAAACCAAATTCGGTAGTTCACCACTTTCGGCCAAGCGAAGCAACTCTTTTGCTCTTTTGAGTCATATTTCTGTTTGTTGCGGTGTAAGTTCTTGCACTTTTTGGAATTTCAATGGTTTTACCCCAAGCTCCTTTTTCAATATTAGCCGAATGGAATATTGCGATGTGTTCAGCTCACGAGCCATTTTTCGGGCACTGCGACACGGGTTTCGATCAAGTCGCTTCTTTAATTTTCGAACCATTTCTGCTGATGTTGCTGTTTTCTTCCATTTACTTCCTTGACGTCGGCCTACGCTACCATTATCACGGTTACGAGCGATGGTACGAGACACAAAAGGTTTATTCGCATTTAAATGCTGGAGTGCTCTAACGATAGCCACATGTGGTGTTCCAGCCAAATATAAGGAAATCACACTATCACGCTTGAATTCCATCACGAATAACTTTTTTTTCTGGAAAATTCTCACCAAAATGCTTTTGTACGCTTGTAAACATTATAACCAGTAAAGAAAGCCTTAAAGTCGGGCGGGGCCGACTTTATGATACCCTACACCACTTTGCTAATTTAGTAGAGCTCCACATAACAATTAAAAGTTTTTATTGGAGAATTAAATCATACACGCTATGATTATAATTATAATTTAAAGTTCAAAGGAGTAAATATGCCGAAGCATTTGTATCTTTTAAATTCGGACTTGTGTTGCCCATTTGGTGTACAAATAATTTAAAATCGGATAAAAATATATATGGGAGCTATATCCAAATCTGAACTGATCTCGATAAAATTTGGCAAATATATTTCTGAGCTGTATTTGATATATTTCCCTGAATATCGTTGTTACGGAGTGCATATTACGGTTGTGGGTAACAAATATAACAAATCGGATAAACAATATATATGGGAGCTATAGCTATATCTGAACCGATCTTCACCAAATTTGACATACTAGCTTCTAGACTCAATTCGGTCGTAAGTGCCAAATTCCATCCCAAATATTAGACGTTTGGTGCACAATAAAAAGCAAATCGGACGAAGATATATATGTGAGCTATATCCAAATCTGAACCGATCTCGATAAAATTTGGCAAATGTATTTCTGAGCTGCATTTGAAATATTTCCCCAAATATTGTTGTTGCAGAGTGCATATTACAGCTGCGAAGGACGAAAATAAAAAATCGGATGAAAAATATATATGGGAGCTATAGCTATATCTGAACCGATTTCGATCAAATTTGGCATACTTATTTTCAGGCCTAATTTGGGTGTATATGCAAAATTCCATACAATTCGGGCTGATATTACAAGTTTGGTGCACAATAAAAGGTAAATCGGACGAAGATATATATGGGAGCTATATCTAAATTTTGACCGATTATCTCCAATTTCAATAGGGTTCGCCAAGCAAATGATCTGTGCAAAATTTCATCTGGATTGGGCAATAAATGCGACCTGTACTTTGTTTACAAAAATACATGTACAGACGGACGGACGGACATGCATAAATCGACTCAGAATGTGATTCAGGAACTATGGGTCTATCTCGTTTCCTTTTGCCTGTTACAAACAAATGCACAAATACATAATACCCTGACCACCTTGTGGTGTAGGGTATAATGAGTTGTCACTGGAATAATTTTAACAGCTGTCGGACAAGTGGCTTAGAAATGACAGCAGTCTGAAGTTGGTTGCAGTTTTTTCATCTCACCCTGTATGTTATTGCACAAAAAGAGAAAGGATGATCCGATTTTGCTCTAACTTTGCAAATCCAAAAATGTGTATCAGTGCTAGGTCATATGCGAAAATTGCCAATATCGGTCGACTCCCTAAAGAACCTCCCCCGCAAAAGGTCAAAATTTTGAATAATTATATCTCTCATAAAATGTGATATAAGACCGGAATTATCTTCAATTTCACACGTTTCAATACTTATATTTTATTTAATTTATTTAATATCTGGTGTAAAGATGGACTATATCGGTCCACTCCTTTTGGTTCCTCCACCACAAAGGATCCAAATTTTGAAAATCCATGAATCTCATAAAACGCGAAATTAATATCCGATTCCATTCAGACTTGGAACATCTAAATGTTTTCATCAACACAAGGTCTGTCATCAAGATTGTAGAGAACGAACCATTTCTTCTGATATAATTACAATTTTAAACCATTATTTTGAAGACCTTGAGGAAAACTTTTTTAATTAAGAGGTAGAATTGCTAGAAAAACGTTGGACAAAGTGTATTGAAGTTTCAGGAGATTATATTGAAAAATAAAATATTTTTGAAAAACTAATTATTCTCTTTCAGAAGTTTCCGAATCGCCCTCGTACTTTAAGTTCTCCTTGCAAAAATTGTTAAATGTTGCTCCGATTTTCAATAACATGCTCCTATTGTACCTAATACTTTTATGGTATTTAGTCCATACATTTTTCAATTAAGGTTTAACATTTAACATTATGAAAGCACGCCCTGATTTTAAATATTTTAAAAATGAAGTATTCAGGGGCATCGTGACATTTTCCCTACAAAAATTGGCAACTCTGTCTTGATTACAAGTGCTTTTGTGCCGTCTCCAAAACTAAACTTATAAAAAATAAATTTTCTCGGTTAATTGTGCATTTTTGAGTGTTTTTTAGTGTTAATTTTATTAAATATATAAATAAAAATCTGAAGAAAGTGAAGTTTTTGATTAAACTTGTGTTTTAAAGTGTTTTCGCAAAATCTAATTTTTGTGTTTATTCATCCATAGACTTTATTTTTCATTTTTGTTTGCTTTGTTCTTCGAAGCTTTGTTTTTGTTTTACTTTGACGTTTGTGCTTTATTTGTCTTGTGTTACGTCCTACTAAATTTCGTTCTTCCTGAGCATACTTTCAGGCACTTATTTAATTACAAAAAACAATACCGTTCACACAGTTCTACTTTAAACTCTGTCGTTTACACCTAAAGCTAATAATTATATTTCTATTTTTAACTGTTGATAATGGCTTGCTCTTATAAGGATTGCAATATTAAAAACGTTACTGAACGTCTTATCACATGTTATCTATGTGATAACTATATGCATCTGAAATGCGCTGGTTTTAATGGCAGACAATTCGATTTTATCACTGATAAATCTAAAGGACTCCGCTGGTCCTGTTTGGATTGTAGGGATTTAGAGATAAATTTCCATCGTCTTTTTAAGGACACTAAAGCTGAAATTCTAAATCTTAAAAAAAGTTTTAACTCTGTATCACAAAATTTCGATAGAATTGAAAAAATGGTTAATACCTTTGAATTTTTAGATGTTTCTCCAAAAAGGAAAAAGTCCGCTAGCGTTGTTAGTACTCTTGGATGTACTAATTCAGGACCTGATAACTTAATAAGTTTAAATTCTCCTACTGTGGTTAACCCCCCTTCTGAGAACTATACTCAATGCAGTAGTGACTCACATCCGGCTGTTCCTGCACCGAACGTTAGTTCTTGCACTAATGAGAATAAAACCCCATCAACGTCATTTGCAAAAAATACTCATAACCCACCTACTATCGTAGTAAATGATACACATTTAAACCCTTCAGTTGCTGTAAATGAAGACTTTATTCAACCGCATTCTAATCAGTTAATTGTTGTTGCACCTCGTAAAACTGTATTTTTATCTAGACTGCACCCAAATACTTCAACTGATGCTATTCGTAACTACATGAAATCTAAAATAACCGATCTGTCAGATAACGATATAAATGTATTCAAATTTAGTTCCTCTCAACGACGTGAAATTTCTTCTTTTAAAATAAATGTGCCTCACAAAATATTAAATACTATTGTCAATAACTCGTTTTGGCCCGATGGTGCCTTAGTAAAGGAATTTGTTTTCAGAGAACGTACTAAAACCCCTAGATCTGTGAATATTCCAACAGTATCAAAAAACTAAATGATGTCATATCTATACTATATCAGAATGTAAGAGGTCTTAACACTAAATTGAGTAATGTTTTCCTTAAAAGTGTATACTGCGAACATAAAATAATTGTTTTTACTGAAACTTGGCTCAAACCTGATATTCTTGATACAGAAATATTTCCCGATAATTATCTAATTTTCAGAAAGGATAGGTTAAATAAAAAAGGTGGTGGGGTTCTAATTGCAGTCCACCACTCGATTCCTTCCGAAGCTGTCGATATTTTTGTCGACCCAAATAATGAATTTGTTTGTGCAAAGCTAATATTCTTTGGTAATACAATATATATAACCTGCTCATATATTACACCCAATTCAGGGGTTGAAACTTACTTAAATCACGCTGATCTTTTTGGAAAAGTTTCCTCTTTGCTAACTGATAACTCTACTTTGATTTGCATGGGTGATTT